GATACATAAACGCAGATGCATAAACACAGATACATAAAATCACATACATAAACACAGATACATAAACTCAGATACATAAACACAGATACATAAACTCAGATACATAAACACAGATACATAAACTCAGATACATAAACACAGATGCATAAACACAGATACATAAAATCACATACATAAACACAGATACATAAAATCACATACATAAACACAGATACATAAACTCGGATACATAAACAGTGATACATAAACTCCGATACATAAACTCAGATACATAAACTCAGATACATAAACGTAGATATATGAACGAATAACATACTGGAAATCACTCAAGCTGGAGTCATCGGTGTCAGTGTCTCCGATGCTGTGTTGGTCGGCTGGCAGGGGTTCCCCATCAGCCATTTCCTTTTTGTGAACTCTTTGAGTATATATACATATAGATGTATATGTATATATTTATATGCAGATTTAGTAATGTGCGTATGTATATACATATGCGTACTGATTGGGTTTTGTGTGTGTGTAGGTTTTGTAAGCGATCTTTGATTAACGTACCTTGACGCGAGCTCGAAGGTTTGGTGCTACTAAGGCGTACGACAGCGACTACAGTATATATGCGTAGATCAACGGAATAAGCACATTCTACTATCAGGAAACATAAGCAAATGGCCGTACTATCTATGATTGCTATATATGAGACGGATTCGCCTATGTGTACACGTGTGTGTGTGCGTGTGAAATGTGCGTATGTATTTATATATGTATATATAAATCTGGTATATGTATATATATATACATATATAAACTTCTTTATCTATTTCGCAGATTGCAATCGAATTTATGTCGCAGCTCAGATTATAGTATCCACACGCCTATTACTGCTCTCCATACTCTTACGTAGGTGTGAGGGTGTAATGCGATAACCAGCCATTGAAACAGCTAACCATGCGTACTCTAGTAAATTCACCGTTGCTTCATACAGAGTGACGTCGTTCAGTGAAAAGACAAAGTCATGGAAGTACGTAAGCAACCACAAGTACATACATCTACTTGTATATGCGCATAGGTATACATATGCACACTTGTTTATTAAAATTGATCTCCCTTGTGTTTATTTTATAAATAATAATAGTATTACAAGTATATAGTCATACACAGATAGTCGCGACAGATACATCGAAGCTCAACATAGTGCGTAAATAAATATTTAGACCTGTTCGAGTGTTTGTGGGTTCAGCTGTCGGCAGTGAAGTCACCAATCAATCGCAACTGTGAAACGCTGCAGACATTTCAAAGCACCGGCTCTATTCAACCTCCACTGCGTGAAGGTAGAATAGCGTATACATTAAACGCAACCCTTCAAATGGGACAGAAAAAGTGTATCCTAATATTGCAAGAAATTGGACTATATCATCCAAATAGTATGTAATAGTGGGTGTGTATTGCACCTCGGAACCTGAATATTGTACCACGTAAACATTCAATATAAACGTATATGATATTGATTTCTATACGCTTAAACGTAAAACGTAATGAAGTTAGTCACTAATCATTATTCAGTAAAAAAAATCACAATCAAAAAATTTTGTCTATAAGTTTGAAAAAAAGCATATAAATACATATGTAATTACATAATGTTATACGCGGTTGAACCTGAACCTGTGTCGGTGCATGTCTATCAACGAATGAAAACAAAGTTATAACAACTCAACGTATAATCAACTTAACTTACATATTAAGCAGCAACGCCAAATTCTTATGATAAGGCTTTTTTTTACTTTGTCTTTTTTTTTTTGGTAAAACTATTAGGTCACTCGAAACTGAGAAACTCCCTAATTTCGATCCTTATTATCAAGCCCATAAAATATATATATATAAATATAAAACAATAATCCCTTTTTGGGCATTTAGTTTTAGGGTTTTATAGTATTTGACCAGCAATCTCAAGATTCCGCAAATCCTTGGTCAAACCCAAAAAGCCCTGAGTTCAAAAATCCTGGTCCACAAAGTACACTATAAACCCTCTAAACTTCAGCAAAAGACTCGGGCAACAACTCTCGGTAGTATCCTGCAATTGTACCTCCTCTATTCTTTCTTAATTCTCTGTGTTGAAGTCTGAGGGCTCCAAGCTACTATACTACCCTATTTATACAATCGCCGACAGACCCGTAGCGGTCTAAAGGTCTACAATTAAGCCTAAACGTCTACGTGATGTTTACGAACTTCCAGCTCTGACCTATTCACGATTTATCATTAGTTCTGCGTTTAGCCGTTTTGCGAGGGTCATGTGGTGATGACTCATCAAAATTCTTTGGCCACAATTTTTCGACAATGTGTACTGAAATTTCGAGAATGAACTCAGACCCAAAAACAATCTAAAATTTGGATTCTCCCGCGAATCCCGAATTTTCTCGATTATAGGTTGCCGACTCCTACACGCCCACCGAGCTTAAAGATTGTAGTCAATTCACACGGTAATCAGCATCAGCGGTAAAGTTACGGACCGCGTTGATAAGTGATTCGCCAATGCTGGATCTTAAGTTCTCCAATCCTCAGTGCAGAGTTTCTGCAATGTAATGAAGAAACTTCTGGTAATCCCCAAACCAATTGACCCCTTTCTTGGTCTGAACATATTTGCGAAGATCATCGGAGACCTTGTTGAACCATTCAAAAGAGTTCATGAACTCCTTTAATGTAACAAGTGCGCGTACACTTTTTAGCTGTACCAGGAGAGCCGCCTACTTCAAGATTAAGCTGGTCTCGATGCACACGGACGTTGTTACAACCTGGATCACAAATATCGTAGTGGTCCCCTGTGCATCATAAGGCCCACGTGTGACATACATGTCCTCATCAACCCATTCAGTGGCCATCTTATCGGAAACGTTATCACGGCGTTTCCAAACAACATTATCCCCTATATCTAGCGGTGGAGGGTTCGTAGCGTGACCCTCGGCGTTAGCGATGCGTTTCTGTTGCGTCTTCTGCAAGTTACTGCGTGCCATATCGAGTATCTTCCATGACTAAACCCTAAAACCCTAAAACTATAAAAAAAAGGTGACAACTCAGAGTCACAATTGTGAACTGTTCAATTGTAGTCCAAGATAATCTTCCAGAACTCCTTATCACTACGTGAGGCAATCGACTTACTGAGCCAATTCTTCAGGGTTCTACTGGCGCGTTAGATCTGGCCATTAGCCTCGTGTCGTTCAATGGTGGTATAGTGAACATACACACCAGTACTACCCCAAAAATCAAATGAACTCGGCATTGTCAAATTCATTCTCGCAATTTACTGACTGTTAACACATCGGGGATACCAAACGCCAGAAAAGTTCTTCGTCGCCTCGTTGTTCGTCAAGGCGGACCAATCACGTAGCTCCAGACCCCATAGCCATTTCATAAACTTGTCCTGCGCGAGAAGAATCACACGAGTGCCTACTTTCTCATTGCGGAATACATAGAACACATCCATTTAAATTCTTTCGATGAACCACTCGGCTTCCTTAACGACAGGTGGTAACACTTTTGAGAAGTCTTTCCGCATTATTGCACAGGCCCGACAGTCTTTAAAGATGCGACGCACTTGCTTCTCTGATACATCATCGTTTGTTACCTTGCGGTATAAGTCGGCCAACCGTTTGTATAATAGCCGGGCCTCCACATTCGACTATATGTTATAAACATACTCTTAGGCAGTACGTAAATTATAAACGTAGTCTTAATAGTACGAGGAACTTAAGTTTCCTACATGGTTTTTAATGGTTTTATTAATTGATACCTTTTCCATTTTACATATCAGATATTTGGACGAGGCCATTAAAAGGCCTCAGTAAAATATTAAACATAAGAGTTGGTCTAGTTCTATTAATAGAACTTTATTTACTTTCCAACTTTATGTATATCTGAATACTTCGGTAGCGAGATGGCTCAACCGAATATTATTAACGTTACCTAGTTGATCCTCTGATCAGCCAACCAGATGTGCCAGTCTGATGAAGGCTAAGTCGGTAATTCTTGATAAAGAGACAATAACTAAGGACATCAAGAGTATTTTTTTCTTTTTTTCTTTTCTTTTTTCTAAAGATAGGATTTTATGAGTCTCTCGCAAATACTCTTTATTTAGTGCCACATTTACCATTTTTTTATGCCAAATGTCAAAATGCCTTTTTTTTTCATACCATAAAATCGCCTTTTTTTTATGCCAATTCTCAAACTACCTTTTTTTTTTTAAATATTTTTTTCGCTTCGTCCGTCTCAGGCTCTATGAGTTCACTGTATTTTGTGTTTTGCAATTATTGGGTGGTTTTTGCAATTTTGTGTCCGTTTGAACTGGACACAATCTCTTTGAGCGTAGCGTCGTAGTAAATACGGGAATCACTGGAGCACGCAGAACGTTGCGAGAAGTTGAGTTGAACAGGCCTCGTGTACGATATTTACAAATCGTATCAAACGGCTACACTTCACAAGCTCACGAGTCACAAACAGACCAGACTCGAACGGTGATGCCGTTCGAGTGTATACAGAAGAGACGTTTTGACGTCTACTTTGGACCAACAGACCAGACTTGAACGGTATCACCGTTCGAGTGTACACAGAAGAGACGTTTTGACGTATACTTTGGACCAACAGACCAGACTCGAACGGTGATATCGTTCGAGTTCAATGGTAAAACGCTCGTAGTGTGGAGTGGTTTCCACGCTGCTGTTTACAAACCACATTACCATTAACTCTACGCTTCAAGCGTAGAGTCAATGGTACAAGCAAGTCGCGGACGTCATAGCACCTAGAACGCGCGAACGTTCGTAGTGCGGGGTGGTTTCCACGCTGCTGTTTACAAAACGCAATACCATTGAGGCAAATAAATGTCGAAATAACTATTGTCTTTCGAATTACAACTCTAAATGTTATTCAAAATGGTTTGTGTCATTGAAACGCTCCCACCTACTTATGCGTGTAGGTCGTTTGCAGATGAAAATGGTGTTGAAACAACAGTTTTCACTGTGGGGGATGGTACAATAGACAACACATTATTTAAGGCGCTGGATGTCTCAAAAATGATAGGTGTTTCGAATGCAAGTAAAGGTAGTACAAGGGCTCGAAAGTGACGAGTACGTCAAAATCAAAATCAAGAACGTTGAAATACTTTTCGTGACGACACTGGGACTTGTGAAATTCATTCTGTCATCCAGACAAGCCCGTATAGGCCCATATTGCAGATGGCTGCTGGAAGTTATACTCGCGTTTGTAATTCGGGACCACATGCAAATTACCGAGCATTGCGCAAATTCTCTCGCAGCAATCCTACCCGACACGTTTTTACTTGGTTATCCAACCAGCATCTACGTTCTTGAGATCGGAACCGTTGGTAACCTACGCGATCAGTGCACTCAGTCAACAGATGCAACCGATTCAGATATAGTGCTCAAGTTCGGGACGTCAAAGACTAATATTTTTCGTCGTTTGAAGGAGCACGATGGTTTATTCAACAATCCAAAGCTTCACATTTTTTTGCTGCATGCACGTCGAACTTTCCGGCAAGGCGGAACGAGATATACGGCAATACCTCAAAAATATACAGACAACTCTACCGTTTCACTACATAAATCAAACTGAACTAGTATCTATCAACCCTGATGTGTTTGGCTCTGTGATAGTTGATCTGAAGGATATTTCACTAGACCGGTCAAAAGAGTCGGTGAAACACAACTTAAGCCACGAAATTGAGCTTTTGAAACTCCGCATAAATACGGCCGAAGAACGCAATATTGAGTTCACCGATCGACTTGCCGAAGCTCAACAGTAACTCATTCAAACACAAGAGCGTGCACAACTCGACAAGCTGCAACAGCATACGTTGCTCATTGAAGCAAATGGGCGCGCCAAGGTCGCCGAAGACCAGTTGCGCAAACTCCAAGGTAACTTCATGAAGATGTGCGTTCCAGCACGTGTGCGAAAACGGCTCCGTGATGATGGATCGACTTGATGGTCAACAACCGAATAAAATGCTTGAATCAACGTCTCATAATTACAATTATACATCGAACAATCCACATACACCTGTATTTGTGTTGCATAAAGTTTGTACATATGTACTTCTATTTTTCTGAGTATACTTTTAGCGAGTCATACGTTACTCCAGGGCATCGTCAATGACAAATATTTGGGAGATTCTTCTACATCTACTGACAAAGGTATAGAAAAAGCGTAGCACGTGAAGAAGGTCTTAAACTCTTGTCGTATCGTCGAGTATCATCCTGACTGTAGATGGTAGATAATGGTGTTCGGAGGTTCGACGGTATCGCCCTGGAATTGATATATAGTAAATCGACAGCAAGTTTCAAGGGTACCCTGAGGCACACCACTATTCACAAACTGTTGCATTCGAGTACGGGACATAACCATGTCTTTAGCAATATTGAATGCTGGGCACGCCTTGTTGGCCCTGGAGATAACTTTGTCTTCCGGACGTTCATCTCGGACTTGCTGGATAATATTCATGCCCGAACAATTGCAGTTGAGGCGTAACCTGGCTCTCCGGGACTCGGTGAGTCGGGGCCTGCTGTCATCTTCCGTGGGTTCAATGTAGAATCTACCACATTTCGTACACACGCTGTACGGGCACGAACGTTGCGCCGATATAAGATAATTCATGTGCGAATCCCGAGAGTCGTAGAATAGCTGAATCCCCTCCGAGCGTTTGATAAGGACTTTCGGGAAGTCCTGTTTGAGCATACTCTTGATCTGGAACTCCTGGTAACTGGCCGAGATGACGGTGTTTTCGGATAACCTGGCACGTATTCCCATCAGTTTAGCTACCAATTCGTTGATTCGGTCGCCGGTATCGAACCGCTGGACGTTCATGTATCGGTAGTACGATCTGTTTGGCAACTGGGACACCTTGGCTGAATTAAGCAACTCCAAGTTGCGCGTGATGACCATCCACTTCGGAGACGAATGACCCAGTTGGTAGGCCGGGTTACCTGTCAGAACAATCTTGGCATTCCAGAACTTGGCTATGAGACACAATACGAACTTGGGTGACTGCATCACAAACTCGTCCAGGATTACGTACTTGCAATCAAACCAATTTGAGACCCCCGAATGTGATGGCCGCCAAGAAAAGGCTTGATACCAAGTGGGTGCGGGGGTTCTTTGGAACCGTCGCGGGCATTTATCTTAGCCAAGAATGTGTCTTTGCCATCGACATCGTTTATCATTTCAGCGCGTAGGTTCAGCAGACTCAGTATACGTACAAAATCGTGTCGATCCGATCTTTTAGGGATAAAGCCGTTCAGTTTGCCTGATTTTTCATGTATGAACTATTCACCGCCGTTGGCATTGGAGAGGGTGCGGTCGCATGTAAACGCCGATATGTGCACTATGTTAGTGTCAAAGTTCTCGGTCGCGTACTCTGTGGTATCAAAGGGTCCGATGGCCGAATTACCGTCCTCGTTGCTGGTCATGGGCATACCGTCCCGCCCACCGTGATGGAAGATCTTGGACTTGTGTGCATTGACCAAAGCGTTTGTGTTGGTGGTCAGAAATGATCCGTGCAACTCGCGCATGACGCCGACATCCCCCAACACGGCCGTGTACGATGGTCCAACTCGGGGTGCTGGGATAGCAGCGTCGAGTCCGGGTTGGTCGACTGTTCAAGGTTCAGTACTAGACTCGGAATATAAGTGCTAGTCTTGATCCAGAACGGCCAATGTATAGGCGTGGTGTTGAGGTTGGAAAAGTAAATACCGTCCAAAAAAAATATGCAGCAACGTGGCGCCTCCCAGGACCAGGGTCTGCAATTGTTCCAACATAGCGAACCGTGTCAGCGACTTGACGGTCGCTGTAATGGCAACAAAGGCCCGATCACTGGTCGTGTTAACGCCCACAACGGCGTCACCGTTGATCATTTCGAGATTGTCGACTTGACTGGGTTGCATCCGTGCGTCATAACCTGAAGGTAAGCGATAGGTGTCACCGGATTCGATCTCTTGGAAGATCCCAAAAAAATTACAATACATGGGGATATTGTGATTATCCACGATTTTTTGGTTCAAGTCGATGAAACTGTGGAGGGGTACCACATCCAAACAATCTATAGTTCGCCATCCCCAGGATCCGGCGATGATCTGGATCTTATATCCCAGTTGTCGCATCTGTACAATAACCGGGGAATAATCGACATGCGTCACGAGATGTAGTCCCATGGGAGCTACGACTTTCTCCCATTCCGTTGGATTAACGTGTGATACGATCTTGTACATGTAAAACCCCGGCCCGAAGATTCGGTCCATGGTCCGGAAGTCCGTGATGATCGGCACGCCTTCATATGTGGCTAATTTATGCGTCGATATGTACATGGATTCACCGTCAATATGTAACACACTGTTGGGTGTAACGACGCGCGAGTTGGTGACGGGATCATAAACTAATTCCATGGGCCGAGTGGTCCAGTCCATGTCGTCTATGTCGGCCATGTTCCAGCTTAGAAAGTCCGTGCATGCCATTTTCACAAACTGGGCTACGTGTCCACCCAGGCGGACTTCCAGGCACTGTTCCTTGATCTTCGGCATGTTTGCGCATCAAAGTCTCCATGTCCTCTTCGGTGACTTCGAGATGCGTCGTCCACATGACATGATCCCTATAGGCACGCAGAAACATGCTCATGTGTGTCACCCAATTGAAGTCGATGAACATCATGGTGAAGACACGGTGCCGATTGGGGACGTATTTGCTCAACATCTCCCTGTTCTGTATTTCTTGGGACGTCCATAATACTGCCGACATATTCTTCCTCGTCGGCTTGACATGCATCAATCTTTTCGAGTTAATGGTCACTAGAATGATTGAAATATTGGCTCGATCTGCCAGATTCGTCAAAATTCCATTAAAACCCTCCGTTGTGCGCAACTCCGGGTACTTTTCTTTCTCACGCTGGATTTGTGGCACTAGAATATCGAGCAGTACATTGCCACACTTTTTTGCTCGGACGCCGTTATGCGAAAATGTTCGATACCAATTGGGCGGTCGTGATGAGTGCATCAAATACACACGTCGCATCTTTGTTCTCCCCAAACTGACTCAGGGCTGTTCCTAGACCATCGTCATCATTGCCATCCGATCTCGTGTGGATGGCTGTAAAGTCGAAATCGGACCCCGATGTAAGTGTGATCCGAGTCACGATGCTTCCGGAGTTTCCTGAAATGTCCTCTAATCCTCAATGTGAGCTGGGATCGAAGAACATACGTGCAAGAAAATCGTCCCAGTTCGTCGAGTTGGCGGCCAACATCATGGTGTCGGTGTTTGGGGTTCCAACGCGGCTCCTGACGATTTCCACAATAGTATGTTCGCACCGGTGACCAATGGCAAAGTCTTCGTAACGCATACGACGATACAACGTATCCGTCGAGTCGATATTATTAATCGAGTAGTTCAGACGCAACATCTCTTTGTTTCGTAAAATGTATATATATTTGGCGAATGTGTCTGTATTTATACTCGTCAAGTACAATTGATTTCATGTCGAAAACTGGTACGAACACCAGGCGGCGATCGGCATCATCCAGCGCCTGGGGTGCAGTGTACGCAGCAAAGACGATCGCGTGACAACGTAATCGCGAAAACGATCATGTCAATGTCGAGAGAGCGCGGTTGAATCAAACTCCTCGGTGATAGTTTGAAGAAAAAAATGCTCCTTATAGCAAACATCCACCAAAAAAACATGTCTTGAAGAGTAGGGTCCACTAACGTGCGCTTGGGCCGTAACGCCGGCATCCCGAACCAACGACAAATCAGGCGTCGGGAAGTGTGGCAATTGGCAATTCGGCGGGAAATGACACGCAAGATGCAAGTTCCGTGGCCATTGGGATAAGCGCGGGGTCGATAGCCCAAGGCTATAGTACCGTGGCCGTTGGTCGGGAATCTAGCACAACAGACGAGGGTTCGTACGCTGTGGCGGTAGGATCAAGGGCCGGAAACGACACACAGACAGCGAACGCGGTCGCAATTGGAAATAGCGCTGGCAAAACGACCCAGGGTGTAAGTTCCGTGGCTATAGGTTATGGAGCGGGGATGACGATACAGGGCGAATATTGCGTAGCCGTAGGAATTGATTCGGGTAAGACAAACCAGAGCAACCAAGACAAACCAGGGTATAGATGTGACAGCCCTGGGTCCACACGCGGGGACCACGGACCAGGGACTATACTCTGTGGCTATAGGAACATAATTTGGTAATGATATGCAAGAGGAAAATTCCGTTGCAATCGGGAACGAGGCGGGTAAAACATCACAGGGTACGGTAGCGGTGGCCATCGGGTATTGGGCGGGCCAGACGTCCCAAGGCGAAAATTCCGTGGTTATAGGATGACTGACCGGCGCGACGCTACAGGGAGCGGACGCGGTCGGTGTAGGCTATGGTGCGGAAGAACTGAACCAGGGTATCCGTGCAGTAGCAATCGGCAATCAAGCAGGGAACACAGGGCAACTGACCAACAGTGTGGCTGTTGGGTTTTCCGCGGGTCTGACAAACCAGGGGAACTACTCGGTCGCCTTAGGCTCGAGCTCGGGGGTCAGGATTCGCCCCAATGAAATTTACCATAGTTTCTAATAGAGCGACAACGAAACACTAAATAAAAT